CACACACACACACACACACACACACACACACACACACACACACACACACACACACACACACACACACACACAGTCACGTTTTCATGAATTCAGAGGACATTACATTGACTTGCATTGATTTTCTGGAGTCTAACCTTAACCATAGTGACTACTTGCCATAACCCTAACTTAAACCTAACCTTACTTTACCCCAACCCTTAACTTAACATTAACTTAACCTAACCATAACTAACATTAAATCATGTCTTCACCTTAAAATGTAATGATTTATATTATTGGACCCCATAATGTGACTGTACGAACACAGGAGCGGGTGACTCACATATTACTCCACATAATGTGATTTAAAAGTGACTGAGAGGACACTACTGCTGTTTAAGATAACAGGAAGCTTGAATTATCTCCATGGTTGCAGGTTGGTTAAGCTGTTGCGATGAGAAACTGAGACAAATGCGCCTTGTTTATTTCTTTTTTTTGGGCAAACATTCACAAATACAGGGAATGATGTGGCAACAGAGCCAATAAGCTCAGTTTTATTTGGTTCGGTTCATGTTAGTCACATTCAGTCGTGTATAAAAGGAATCTGAGGAGGTTGCTGTCATACTCTCTACGCCGCTGCAGGTTTTGTAGGCAAAGGCAAGCGAGGGAAAATGGCCTCCTAACAAGATTTATAATTTTACGCCGAGGGTTCAACCCCCCCGGAGTGGGAGTGGTCAGCATTTATAATCTCAATTCATTCATGGAAACACTGCACTGTTTTCTTCCTTATAGGAGCATAATAAGAGAATTTGCTGTGGAAAAGACTCCTCTGACGGAGCACAGGGAGAAAAGACTGGCTTATTTCAGGCTAAAGTGAAAAGGACAGTATGGGCAGGACAGGGGTTTTAGTGGTTTTTACAGTTCAGCGGTGGCGTTTTGAAAGCGCGCTCTTTCAGCAACGTGGGTGGCATGGTTGTTCCTAGCATCTCTGCTATTGTATTGTCATTGGCTCTATGCACTTGTCAGCATCATTGCTCACTTTCTCAGGATAAATGTTGATTTTGCTTTATGCGGAGTGAGTCGAGGCAGCAGCGCTTTGATTCGGGAAATTGCTATGGCCTCGGTGTGAGAGCTCGTGTCACTGCTGACGTCCAAATTCCTCTGACATGTTTACTGTTTTCTTTTATTTTGTGGAGGCTATTCTGCGCCAGCGCCACCGCTCCTGTAGCAGCGCCTCCATGTGAAATCCTGTGTGTCCTGTAAACAGAGGACCAGAAAATAACAAGCACAAGAAAAGGGAAGATTTTCACCCCGGCGTCATCTTCTTTTTTTCCTCCCTCGCCCCCTTCAGTGTGCCCACCACTTGTTGTCCTTTATTTGTTGCCTAAGTGCTTTGGCATTAAATCTTATTATTTTTTGGTAAATAAACCAGTTTCTGGTCAGAATTACACACAACTTGGTGTGAGGTCCTTTTCAGAAAGGGGCCTGGATCCTTTTATCCAAAATGTTTTCTATTTCTGCTTTTGTAAGACACTTTTGACTGCTTTGAAAGGGAGAAACCAGGTTTTTCTTGCATTTCTGGGGGTGAGGTTGGGGATTTTTCTCAGCATTGTGGTGAGATTTATTCGAAGAGGCTGCATTTTTGTCTGATTTGCCTCTTTGTTCTCTGTAAGTAGTTCCAGGTCCCCCCTAATGTGCACTGGGCTCGGTGATTTTGCACATGGGCGTGTATGTGTGTGTGTGCGCGGGAAGCACATGTGTGAGTGTGCGTGCGCGTGCGCGAGGGTGAGGCGGGGACTTGGTGTGACACCTGCTGTTGGGATGAATAGGGTCAGTGGCAGGGCCCTTCAGCAGGCAGCAGCTGCTTGTTCTCACTGCAAAGCTCGACTCTCACGGCGTTCTAAAGCCTGCAGAATGACAACTGAGGCCCTGACTCGGCGACACATAGTGCCCCCTTCCACCATCTCCTATCATTACAGTTATTATCTTCAAGTATTGCAATTCTGCCTCTCCCAGGGTCAGGATCCTAAGCGTTTGGAAGGAAACGTGAAATTGACCTGAGGAAAACATCAAAAACGAACTTCAATTTCCAGGCTTGCCCTCTCCGAACACAGGAAGAGGTTTCCAGACAGCTGCTGACAGACAAAGATACTTGGTATTTGGTTGGTCTGACCTGTCTGCGCTCTCTCGCTGTGTGGTAGTCCGCCCTGCGTGTGACTTAGTGGGTCTGAAAACATTCCCTGTGGCACAACAGAGGAAGAGGGCAGAAGATAAACAGTGAGATATGAAAACATCAGTCTGTGTGTTAGCAGCGTTTCACTTGCCTGCAAAACTTTTCATCCATATCTTTTTTTATTTCAATTTTTCATTTACAAATCACAGTTAATATCCTTTCATACCATTTAGTTTCACCCAAATTCCCAAGTTTAAAGACATTGTTCCTTTTCTAGCCACCAGAGGTCAGCCTTTTATTAACAAATTCGAATGCGCTGCGTTTTTACCCTGAAGAAAACTCACACTTACTGGTATATTAAATAAATTACTGATGATGCACGTGTAGTGTCCTTTGCACAGCAGCTTGTTGTAGGCTACAAAGTTTGTCCCACGTGCAATAACAGGGTTGGATTTTCTGTGACACAGGTGATGCCAGTGTAAAAACCCCTCTGTCATCACATTGCATTCGGGTTGAGGCACACAAGCAAAGTACAGAGTACGACCCTGTTGCAGTGCATTTGTTAAATGATGGGTTTCTTCAACAGACAACAAACAGGCAACAAAACTTAGCCTTGCTGAACCGGGAGAGGAATAACAGGGTTGGATGCCAAAATATCCCCAGTTGTCTCAAAGCATTTTCGACATCACTAACAAATTCCTCAACGTTGCGTCAATGGTTTTCAATTCTTTCGGGTTTGATGTCCCTTTTATTTGAGCCATGGAAGGGTCGAGCAGTGGCTCTAAGATGAAGGTTGACTTGTCTTCGTCCTCCTGGAGAGTTTGTAGTTAAAGTACATGAGAGCTTTGGACTGCGGGGCTCTCCTGGGCCAGCAGGTGCGTCCATTTCCGAAGTAGTCCCCCAAACACTGACAGGTGTAGGAACCATCTGTGTTGACACACTGAGCGTGGCGGCTGCACCGGTGAGACCCGGTTAGACATTCGTCCTTATCTGTTCAGGGGAATAGAAGGAGATAAGAAATGTTTATAGATGACTGCTTGTGAGATATTTAATCATCTCTCTTTTTATTTTCGGAGCATGAAGGTAAGCCAAAGCTGCTTCATAGTTAAGTCACATTAGATCAGTCTGGTGAAGGGAAAAGGGTTTTTCAGAACCGTCTGTTTCAAACCTGCTGAAGAGATAATGTTTCAATGCTCATCACATGGATGAAAACAGAAAACAGCTTGTGTGTGAGCCCACAGCTGAGTGGGTGAGCTATGAGTGCTCATCAAATAAACATGGTTTCTGGATCCTCTGCTGCCAAAGCACATCTTCACTTGATCCCCTTCTCTGCCAATTAACACAGATGAGGAGAACATGTGGAGCCGTGCTCTGATCCATTCAGTCATTTACAAGGACTGACATGGAACCGGTCTGAATGTGGCTAAAAAATATCTTGCTCATGGGCGTCACTGTGAGCGAGTCCAGGGTGGATAACACATCATATTAACATTCGTGGTCTGAGAGCTTCTCCTCAAGTTTAGTGTTTATTGATACAAATTATGTCAAAATGAAAAACATAAATGTTACACATATTCAAGCACATCCTCTCATGAGAAACGTGACCATCTGCAACAACAACCAGAGAAGGATGTTGTTTTTTTACCTCGACATTGCAATGAGCCCTTGAGCGTCCCTATCACAAAACCGTCTTGGCACATACACGCGAAGCTGCCAAACGTGTTCCTGCATCTCCGCCGCGGTGGACACACGTCAGTCTCTCGCTGACACTCATCCACATCTGCAACAAAACACAAACATGTGTCCGACACCACAAACATGTTTGGTTAATTTCATTCTGAAAAGCAACAGTACAAACTTTTTGTCTTTCTCATACATAAGGACTTTACTATTAACTCTCATTCATTGTGAACAGCTTAAACAAGATATTATCTCTAACCTAAACCCAACCACAGCTCACATCTCACCCCTAACCTTAACCAGGACCTCAGAAATGACATTTCGCATCCCATTATGACCGGGTTTTGGTCCCCATGTGGTCTACTGGTCCAACAAGGTTATTGTTTATGCTGGAAAAGGTCCTACAAATGTGCACACACACACACACACACACACGCACAAACACACAAACCTAACCTCTCAAGGACAAGGTGCGCAAATGTTTCTTGTCTTTGCTCAAAACAATAATTACCTTCAAAAAGACTTGAGGGGCACAAATTAGTACTTTGACCTTGCAACCTCCTCTTTGTGCTTGAAGCTTTGAAAGACTCACTGCTGTTCAAAAAACGAGGAGTGACCCAAATGCACAAATGTTTTACTCGAGGTGTTATGTCCCTCGAGACTTGTGCACTGTACATTTCTGAATAATGATTTGAAATAGCTGAAATAGATTGATAGCTGAAATCTACTTGTATTATTCTTATTTAATCTTATTTTGGCAGAATAGTCTCTTCTACATCAGTGCATCTCTTTTTCGAGACAAAAGCACAGATTACTTGTTGTTGTGGAGGGTGAACATTTCCCACCATGAGCGTCCCCACTGTGTGAGAATGTCTCCTTAACAGCCGTGAGAGAGGCTGAGGAAGGATCACTTCATTACAGGACAGGAGGTGCCGAGTTATCGAGAGGGACTTCAGTCATAAAGGAGAGAGTACAGGGTCCCTTGGTCCTTACATCAGGTAATTAGAGGCTATATTTGAAGGTGGACAGACCCGCTGCTGATGTGCCATTGGTAAGTTAGCTGCAGGGAGATGACGAGTGTACAGAAACAAATATATCTACAAAACATATCCTGAAAGAGGTGGTGGGAATACAACTGGAAGAATCTGCTTCTAAGGCTAAGAAACGTGAGAAGTTCCATATCTTAACATATGAGGCATCTATCTACAGTAGCTGTAATGAACTAAGGGGGTGTTTCTGAAGAGGCTCTACCTTCACAGGTCTTGTTGTCAGCGGCCAGGTGGAGGCCGGGGGGACACAGACAGCGCAGCTCTCCCCCTCTCTCCATCTGGAAACCAAACTGGCAGCGCGTAGAGGAACATGCGGCCTCTCCTGGAAGACAAACAGGGAAACACTGGCTGAGGATCCAACCGAGAGACGGGCCACTGGATCACACACACACACACACACACGAGTACAGGCTCTGTAGCACTGGGAGCGGTAATGAAGCCGTGAACAGAAATGGTGACCAAACTGCGCTTAAAGACAAAAATCTATATCTTACATAAATCCTACATTTACATTGCTGCACTTCAAATACCACATCACCACAAAGCTATGTTATGATATCACTTTCTATAATATAAACTGTGAATATCTAAACATTTACGTGAGCTAAGCAAGGTGTGTAAACTCAGTGCCAAGTCCTCAGATACTTTAATCTCCAATTATGGTATAAAGATGGCAGATGGCTTTTGTGGAGAAATGATGCAATGTCAGAAAAATCATCCCTCAACACAGAGATGTTTTTCATGTGGGTTTTTTAAATACCGGCCTGTTAGTTTTAAATGTTCTGTTTAAAGAGGAAATTACTCACTGGTGCAGGTGTATCCATCTGCGCCAAGCGTGAATCCAGGTTCACAGTAACAGCGAAAGCTACCGTGCGTGTTCATGCAGCGCTGGGAACATGGCCTCGCCAGCAAACCACATTCATTCACATCTGGAGTCAATAGGAAACATTACTCAAGCAGCATATAGAAGTCCTGGTGCTAAATGATGCAGAACAACACAGGTAATGGTGGAGAAATTAAAACCATAGGTCTGATAATGGTTATACTCTACCTTCATCACACAGGGGGCCTTTGTACCCTCTGGAGCACAAACACTTGTCTGGTCCCACACATTTTCCATGTGTGCACGACTTCTTGCACACCGCTGTGGACGAATATAAAAACCTCAATCTATTTTTTTGTTTATATAGTAACTGTGTAAACATCCAGCAGATGCGGAGCAATGTAAGCATTCATTTGCAGTCGTGATTCTGACCACACATACATTCATCACTGTGATAAGCAACAACTGAAATAACAGAAAATATCTATTTATTGTATTTATAATATTCTTTACTTTGAGTAGTATTGCATCTTTAAATAAAAAATCTGATAAGCAAAGAAACATCAACCTAATTGACTTGTGTTGTGTGTAAAATAAAAAAATCTGTGTATTATATTACACTCCATATATATATTATCAGTTATGTAAATTTAACACACAGTTTCTAAAGTAGTTGTTTTATGTAGAAGTAAATTAAAAACTATACTTAAGTGTAGTTTTAGTTACATTTACTTATGTTTCCTCCGCTGATACTGATCAGGAGGAAAAGGTGCCCGGACATGAGGGTAAAAAAAATGATATGAAGGAAGTTGCCAAGAAAGAAAAACATATTTTCTTTACATTTATTTCCTTGTTTGTTGTTTTGCTGAGATGCTGCACTGATAACCTGTGAACTCTGGGTATGTGTCATTGTAGCTGTCACTTAACGTCAGAGTGACTTACGCTGACAAATGCCATTAACATTCCTCCATCCCACACAACAGGAAGTAGTTTGACCAAAGCTGCAGTGTCCCGGCCGATGGCGACCCCCGCTGTGCCCCAGCGCATCCTCCACTGACCTGTGGAGGCTGGGACAGAAGGTTATCAGATCGTTAAGCATCATCTCGCCTTCAGGGTTTTAAATTCCCGACTCAGACTCCTGGAGAAAGTCTATGTATTTAAAGTTTGAAGACAGTTTTTGGCCTTTAAAGTTTTTCCTGAAAGCAGTTGTGTAAGTCTGAAAAAGGAAAAGCGATTGCAAATCACAAAAAGATGAGTAAGGACGGATGCATTATAAAATGGATCAATATGGTGGATGCACACATTTTGTTGAATTACCTACATTGACCTCATTAGTGGGGCATTATATATATTACACTCACAAGTCTGACACTTGAAATGTGACAAGGTAAAGGAAGTGCATTAGTGTGATTTAGAACACAGCACTCAAAGTCAACGGAGAGCAAGTAGACATGACTTTGCCCAGGGCTGCACGAAACAGCACACAAACATGTCTGTTCACTGTTTCTAGAAATGTAGGAGGATTCTTTTAGTTCAAAAGTTTAAACTGCAAATATTCATCAGCGATCAAGTGGACATTGTCTTCAGAGAATTTGTTTATTCCAGGTTAGTCTTTAACATCTTTGATTACACATATTCTAACCACATTCATATAACAGGATGTTGGCAGATCCGTACACTGGAAACCACTGTTATGAAACACCTTCCTCATTCCCTTATTGCATTTCTAAGAAAACAGAAAGAAATTCTGAGCAGTAATAATTCCTCCCTCATTAAAATCTGCTGTCATAAACAAAAGTGCAATAAACTACATGGCATTCAAAACCACTGAACAAGTTTCACTCGTAGCTGCTGTTAAATCTCCTCACACCCACACGGCAATAAGAGCCTTGTGGTTAGACACAGGCCAAGTAAAGGTTAATTTCACATGCTCGCACTGAGCGGTCTGAGAGAGAAATCCACAACATCATCATCATGTAATATTTATCATTTATTTATTTTAAAAATAAAGGAATCCTTGACTTTTAATAACTTTAAAAACATGGAGTTTCTTTCTTACCTTTCCTGATGATGAGCCACAGAGATGGTAATGAAATGCACCATCACCACAAAGACTCGCCGGCTTATTTCAACCATCTTCTTCCACCACGTTTTAACCTTTCAAGTACATGTTAGCTCCCTCTTTCCTCCGACACCTTCGCTCTGTCACTGAGGCACAGGTTTTGTGATGTGTGTGTGTTTAAAATTCTGGACGTGTTTGTGTTTGTGAGTGAGTATTTGAGGTGGTGGGGGGGTCACACGGTGTAATTGGAGGGTGCTCAGAGAAGGGGGTGTGACAGTTCACCTGTGTGCAAAACAGAGAGGGACAAAGAGGTGGGGGGGGGGGTCCAAATGAGAAGGACTGCAGAGGAATATTTGGAGAATGCAAAGCAAACACTGGTTAAATAACTGGGTGGCGAAAACAATGTTTTCCGCTCAAGGTCATTTTCTGTTTCTGTTTATACCTGTGTAAATGTTGAAACTTAACCAAGAAAAAGTGGCTGACAATCAAGGTCTAATTATTCACTGTTTCTGGTGTTTTCTACCACGGGACATGGTCTTCACCAGCACGACAGTGCAGCTTAAACAAAGGTCGTTTTGTTGAATGCAACAGAGTCAAGCTCAACTTTTGAAGGATCAGTTCAACCTCTTCATAATGCAGTCAGCAGCACTTGTCATAATTAAACCATTTGTTGCAACAGATGGGAAGACAGGAAGACATTGAGTAAATTTTAAGATTAAGATTAAGATTAAGATTCCTATCAGGTTAACATTTCAAACCTTTGAGCTAAGATTTGAACCCAGAATGGTTGAGGCTGGGGTGGTGGAGGTGAATCAGCAGCAGTGTGAGGCAGAAAAAGTGAAGCAGGGACCAGTGAGGAGGGCGTTTTATTTAAATGGACCACTGCCTTGATGTGACAATGGCTGTGATTGGTGTGTGACTGATGGGACTACAATCAGCTGACTGTCCGCTGGCTATGACAGTGTCATTTAGGACTAAGCTTCATATGTGTCGTAAATCTGTCCTGTGTTGAGTTAGATAAAAATATAAACAACACTCACATGTTTATCTTTAAATATGAAGCTGTTATATTTTCTGGAGTGAATGGACACTCGGATTCAGAGAAACAGGAGATAGTAAAACTTTACTGAATAGTCAGAGAGCATGGAAACACAACTAAACATTTTCAAACATGCAGTGAAGCAGGGGCGGACTGGGACAATAATTCAGGCCAGAAGGTTGACTCCTTTCCAGGCCACCCTTTTCACGCAAAGCACCAAACCTCTAATTTTGTAGGCTAACCCTATTTGTTGATGTAATGGTTACCAGGCTAGTAAACAACTAGGCGGCGAAGTTACTTACTGCCCTCTGCCGTCTTTTCAATGACGCCATCTTTGTCAAGTGCAATAAGAATCTCCAACCAAAACAGTGAGAATATGACATTTCCAAGGGCTTTTACTTTGAAATTCTGCTCATATTAAGAAGTAGTTTAAAAACTCCTTGTGAGATGACACAAATATTTCATCTAACGCACCTAAATTTCACCTAACCACCTAAGTGGGGGTCAGCATGAACAAGGGTGAGGTAAAATATCTGTGTCACCTTTCAAGGAATTAAAACATGATAATATATTATATGAGCAAGTTATGGTTTCCATAATGAAAAAGTAGCCCACTTTGCTTTGATGAAAAAATATACACAAATATTCCATATCATTATACATGTTATTGTTTTGTATAGAAATCAAATCAATCGATAATATTTGAAAGGTCCGTCACCTCATTCAAGTTATCAGTTCAAGGCCCAAAAGACCACCAGGCCACCGGGAAATGTCCCAGCGCTCCCGCTGTGCAGTCCACCGCCACACTGAAGTCCAGGCATTTTCCTGAAATTTTGCAGAGGGGTTTGAGTCAGTTGCTCTGGACATATTTCAGAACTTTTCCTGCAAGCCCCCCGGTAAAATATACAAGTGAGCGCATGTTAGCATACCGCAGAAAAATGTCAGAGTGAGCAAGTGAGCATGTGACAGACCCAAACTGACGAAGACGAAGAACACAGTTATCTCAGGATGAAAAAGACACTTCATACATGAAGAAGACATCGATGAAGATGTCAACTTGTGATGACAATGAGATTTGAGAGTTTTTGGTGATTGGGACAGACCCCGGTGTTGATGTGCTGTAAACAAATACATGTGATTCCCACAGCAGAATTTAAACATCAATTTTAAATTTAAACGCCCTCGCCTTAATGTGGACGTGGCCAACTTTCCAGACATTTTCAGAAGTTCAATCTGGCAATCGACCAAAAACCTTTTTTCACTCTTCTTTTTGTTTGCTTCTTAATACATAAAAAAAGGTTTTAAAAAAGTAAAGGAATGCTTTTTTTTAATATAAAAAATAGTCAAAGATGGACACAGAGGATGACTAAGTGTTTTATAAAGACTGGGACTAAGATCTCAGGGTCGGAAATGAGCGCTGGCAGCCTCAGAGGTCAGGCCTTTGAAGCCTTAACCATTACCAGCTCTGATCAGAGTGCAATCAGTTGTATTAAGCTCAAAGGCGGAGTCCTTGTCTGGACGCCTGGTGGTCCACTCACCACACACACACACACACACA